CACACACACACACACACACACACACACACACACACACACACTTTTAATAGTGTTCATAATGAACACAAATTGAATGATGACTCATTAGTGGTTTCTCATCTTATCCTGCTACAGTACCACCTGCAGGTATATTATCCATCTGTGCGTGTGCGCCGCACATGCAGGAGCAAAGTAGAGTGTATTCACAAGTCTGTGTGTGTGTACATGAGCCCAAGTAATTGGAATATGCACACGAATTACTCCGTGCTATGCACATGCTTATAAGGAATGTACAGCACACGTATTTTTGCAAGGTCTCTTAATTTTTTGTGGCTTCACTGTTTATGTGGGTGAGAAAGAGCAAGAGAGGGTATGATGGGATTCCTGTGTGTGTGTGAAGAGGACGGCCACAGGCAAAGAGAGATTGTTTCATTTGTGTGCACGTGTGTGTGCATGTGTGTATTGGCAATGTTCGTTTCCTCAAAGCGCATTCCACCGCAGACCACAAAATCCCTCCTTGTCCTTTCTCTAGCTTTCCTCGTTCTCTCTTTCCCTCTCTCCATTTTTCTCAACTGCAACTCTCAGCATCTTTCTTCTTTCTCTTTTCCATCTTTCCTTTCTTTTCTCTCGTGTTTTTTTTTCATACTAGTTTTTATATTGACTAAAGCCTAGAATTTGGTCTGTTTCGGACTCTTCCTCAGCTGAGTGGCTAGTGGGTTTCTCTTGGCACAGAGCTGTATGGTTTAAAGTGGAAATCAGTGTGTTTGGTTATGGAGGCTTTGGAGCTGTTCACAGGCATTAAATGAATAAAAGAAAACAATAAAAATGCAAGAAAGACACATGCCTGTTAAATGATCTTGACTTTATGGGCTTATCCTGCTCGTTGACCCCTTCAAATCAACCTGAATCACTCTTCCTAATCTGCCCCTACAGCTGCTTTTTACTCTAAAATTCACAGACTTCTTAGCTGCTAAAAAATGGCTTCCCGTTCAGGGAATCAGTCTTTTCCTTCCCAGCACGGCTGTGGGGTGCTTTTTCTTTTTTTTTTTCCTTCCCACCAACACTGCCAGTACTGCTATCTCTTCTTCTGAGATACCTCCATGCAGACACCACCGTGGGTGCGTGTTATTGTCTCCCACCGTATGGCTGTTTTAAATGGCAATTTGAAGCACCGCTGGCTCTATAATTAGCTGTGAGCTCCCACAGGAGAGGAAAAAAGTGGCTTATCGTCTCTCCTTTGTAATTACAGATCCGAGCAGGGCGACAGACACGCGCGCACACACAAGCAGACACAAGCGCAGACAGATGCGCAGACACGGGGAAGGCGCGCAAGCGTCGACGTGCACATTTGCCACCTGCGCTAACGCGCTAAAGCTCCTTTAGTGAGCTGACTTTCTGCCTGTTTGCCGGAGGAAGTGACTTTTACTTTTCATGTCAACAGCTGCAACAAATATGCAAAATTGGAGATAAATGACAGCACGGCAGGAGAACAGACAGCCCAGAAATATGAGCGCCGCTGTTCCTTTGCCAGAGCTTCTCTCCCGTGTGTCTCTTCCCAGTGCAGTCATGAGGCTCTCGCACAGCAGCAGATAGACATAAAGAGGAAGACTGAGTGTGTTAGAGGCCGAGGTCATTAATCTGACTGTCCACTTCTCTTCTCTGCTCCCAAGACAAGAAAGTGGGGAAAGAGGGGGGATGAAATGCAGGGAAACAGGAAGAACATAGCAATGAAATCATTCTGTAACCCTCACAGACACTATCTGTCTCAAACAAAGCTCGCTAGCTACAGAATCTCTTCGTTAGTGAGGAGCTTTTGTTTGAGTTCACTGATGAAAGTTAAGCTGTCTTCATGTGCAGCTAACTGTTCGCTTTCTTTGTGTTTTTGCTTTTTCAAAATGACTTTGATTTATCTTATTTTATGTTTGCTAAATGTGATAAAACGAACTGTGATGAACAAACTGTGGCATAATTCCACTACTTTAAGCCTATGGAGAGTTCTAGATGTCCTGTGACCCTGATCTCACTCCCAAGCCGTAACATCCTGACGATTTGTCACATCCCGCGGCGTTCCTGAGGAACACCAAAGGCGACCTTCGGTGTTCTCATGGTACTCACCGGGCCATGGGTTAAATACAGTGGAATGAGGGTCCCGTGGTAAAACACATTCCAGCCATGTATTCCAGCCCTAACCATAACCTTATCCCTATCCTTAACCAGCACTTTAATGACTTTAAATAGTGTTTTCCAAAGCAATTTGAGGAAAATGAACAAACATGTGTATTGATTCCAAACGGTTCTCATGTTTCCTCCTTTTTCCGATCTCGTCATTTGGGAATGTGTTGGGTGCCCGGAAGCGTGACATGTTGACGATTTGTCACCTAGCGTAAAATATTACGCCTCGGGAGTGAGAGTGTGTTGCAGCGACAGACCTCATAAGTCATTAACCTTGATGATGCCACAAGGGTCATCTCAAGGGGGCGGGGCATGGGCCAGGTAAAGGTGTTGGCTGTATGTAGACTGTGACCAATCGTTAATAACAGAAAAGCATAAACTCATGCTAGGCATGTGGATATGCCAGTAACCATCAAATGCATTGAATCTGTAGAGGTGGGAATCACCAGCCACCTATGATATTATCACAACACTTGAGTGCATTACTCAGTGCATTTTTACATTTTTAAAATAATACTCAGTGCATTACAGTTGTTAGAAAGTGATAACTTCCAACTTCCACAACATCAAATCCCAGGACTGTAACTCTCTTTGCTGTACTGTGTTATGCAGGAAGTGTTTGGCAGCAGGTTTTCTTCCAGCTGAGGTGGAAGGTCTGTTTTACTCTAAATGCTTCTGTAGTTTACAAAAGAACATTGCAGTATGATGAATAAAAATTGAACCTAGCAATTGAGAGGCTAAACACACCAGGGACGTATTTCTTCTTTTATATACAGTCTGTGTCCAGGACCTAAAAGCCACAGGGGGGAAGAAAATCTTGCAGCATATCAGAGAACTTCTCCAAAATGATTCTGCCAGCGCTTACAAGTCTCATTAAGCCAGTTTTCCCAGCGACAGCAGATGTGATCACTGGTGATCTGTGTGTCACTGCTGGTTTCCTACACCTCTTATCCTATTTAAGGCCAGCTAAAGTAAGTTTGATGATTCGCTGTCACTCCGAGTGAGGAAGGGAGAAGATGAGGACAGGGGGAAGGGAGATAGGAGGGAAAGCTTTGTATCAAAACTGAGTGTGAAAGCTGCTGTGTCAGAGATGGATTACAGAGTAGGAAAGAAGGTCACTTTGTTTTTGAATATTGTCCTGCATTTTTTATTATCTTACCGGCACAAATTAATAATTCACGCCTCTTCTTTCACTTTAATTGCTTCTTCTTAATGCACCGTCACCTCACAAGGAACCCCCTTTAAAAATTCCGAACAGACACACACCTTCACGTACACTCACCTGCAACTTTGGGTGTGGCTGCATGGGAATTCATGTACGTGTGTGTTTGTGTGTGAGACAGTGCTCGGGGGGTATTGGATTAATCGCACACAGTCTGTGTGTAGCTGCGATAAGCGTGATGCTTTTGAAGCAATGCCGTCCAAAATGTGTCATTCCCATCTCTCCTTCTTTCTCTCACTCTCTTTTTTCCGTGTGTGCGCATCCCAGAATTAATCGCCGTGGCAACAGGCCAGAAGAGGAGAGCAAACAGAATGAGAGAGACATTTATCATTTGTTCAGTAGACGTTCGCCCCGTGACCGCGCTGTGACATTGTTTTCTTTATTTAGTTCAATCGGGGCCAGAAGCTGATAATTTATACGCACTCCCCCTTTGATAATGAGGCGTCGCGTTCTCGAGGTGGGGCTTCTGTTTACACACACACGCACTCCAATGCACATAAAACACACCGTCAACAGTGAGGTCTTGACCGCTCTTTGTCAAAGTCAACATATGCACACACACACTGAAGGAATGGCAGTGATGAAGTGTCCCATCCTCCTGGTGTTTGCTCCAGTCAGCCTGATCCAAAGGAAACCTAAATGTGTTTTTGTGTACGTAAAAAAAAGTTTACATGTAGTTTCAGTTGGAGTTTTTAGCCTTAAAATACTTTTCTTTTAAATCCGTACTCGTCTGTTTACCTTGCAGACGGTGGAGCAGCGGTCCTCAAGGCCCACACCCCTCTGCTCTTGACAAATTGATGTAGTTTAGCAGTAGTTTCACTACTCACTGCAGGGCAGCACACACACGCATATATGCGAACGTACACACAGTGGCACCTACACATACTGCTAGGCTGCGCTATACACCGGTGTGTTCTGCTTGGCTGCTCATGTGTGTCAGCTGAGCTGGTACATCAAGGGAGGGGAAGCAAAAGAGAGGGAGGGAGTGTGACAAGAAAGCGCGGGATGAGAGAGGGACAGATGGATAGAGAAAGGCAGAGGGAAACAAAAAAAAGGAAAAGAAATGCAATTGTTTCTAAAGCTCTGAGGAGAGAGCGAGAGGGACGGTGGCGCCAAATCAGAAGTGAAACGCTGTGTCGATGCAAATACAGACTCACAAACACACATCACCGATGGAGTTGTGGAGAGATGAAGGTTTGTCCTCACTTGTCCTTATCTCGGAGCTGTCAAGATAAAACTATTATGGTGGGAGTGTGAAAACAATAGCTCAGGGCCAGCAGTTATATTTGGTGCAAGAATGCATTCTCTGGCCTCATCGTCCTCTTCTCCATCGACCCGAGCTCTTGGTTTCACCTTGAAGTCCTCAGTCTCACATGCTTATGTGGAGGGCATCCCCAGACGGGTAGAAATACTAGGAGCTATCCTTTGTATCAACTACACTCCAAACGTTTCCTTAGTGACAGTCAAAAGGTACTGAAGATGCCACTCATATCACTTGTTAAGTCATGTTATTGTATGAACTGTTGGGTAGTGGCATTCGAGGCAGCATTAGGTGGCGTATGTAAGCTGACGGCATTCAGTTCACTCACTTCTATTGTAACTCAGGCAACGTGAATACGCTGGTTCAACTCCATCCAGCCGTGCCAGATGGATGCTGGGAGTTTACTGTTAAAAGGGAGTTTTTCCTTCCCACTGTTGACAAGTGCTTGCTCATACTGGGTTTTCTAAGTGTTGGCTTTCTCTGTATTATTATAGGGTCTTTCCCTCACAGTATAAATCACCCTGAGGTTACTTTTGTGATTTGGCATGATATGAATATTTAGCATTGTATAAATGCATTTCTACTCACATACAGAAAGCATATGAGACAGTCTGTCTTACCCACATTTCAGCAGTGGGTCCAAACCACACCGTTACAAGCCGGCCACAGCCAGACCCAGTGATGTCAGAAGCCCTTCCAGAGGTGCCATGGCACAGAGGGGATGGGAGAGGTGAGGGAAGAGAAATCTCCCAAAAAACAGTCCTAGCAAGTCACTTAATTTGTCTTAAAGTGCCATCGTCAAGGTGATTCCACGCGATTTCAATGCAAATCGAGTCATATTGACAGTCTAAGTGAATATGCTGTCTTTTTTCATGCCAGTTGAGTGATTTGCATTATTCCACCTTGTTTCATAATAATGACACTCATTCCTGAATTAAGGGCTCTTTTATAGACCCCCACTAGCAGAATTGTTCACTTATTTTAAAGAAATTAGGCTTAATATGAGGCTAGATTACGTTCAGTTACAGGTGATTTCTTTTTTTTTTTGTTGGGTTTATAATTTATTTGCTTATTTCTGCCTCGCTACAGGAGCAGGCAGATGATGTTATTGAGGGAGGAATTTTAAAAAGAAGTCAAGACAGCAGACAAAAAAGTCTTCTTATCTATGTGGTCCTTGAATGGAAAGAGACATCTCCTCTTAGTGTCTCCTGGTCATAAAGTGTCACTTTATCGCACGCGATCCCCATCTGGGATGTAAGTCAAAGGGATATGGTGACATTTTGACGCTCCCAGTGGCCTGCAGTCTCCATGAGAAATCCTCACAGTGCTATAAGTGCTAATAACCCGTGCCAAGTTTTTGGGGAGGAACCGTAAACTCAGTATAATTCAAACTGTTGTCAGGTTAAAACCTTTGAGAATTTTTAGTGTGACAGTATCTAATTGGTCTTGCTTACTTAGCCACCCCTGTCAACTTCTGGCAAATAGTGGCAGATTAAAGCGAAAATGCTACCCCGCTGCACAAAACAAGTGCCAGCGCAGAGCAGGACCAACATGTCAGGTGCTCCGAATCAGCTCTAATTTTGGAGTTGTTGCGTGATTTCATTTGTTCCAAACTTTTTTTTCTTTCTTTATGAGATGGATCGCACTTTTTTGGATTTAGTCACCAAGCTAATGAGTTCTGGAGCCATCACAGTATTGACAAAGGTGAATTTTGACAGACAAACCTTAACTGTCACATGAAGGTTAGGGAACGTATTACAAAAACTGGGTCTCAAATTAAGATGGAATTTTCCCAATCTGGTTTTCCAGGTATAGTACCTATTTTTAGAAATACTATTTTACTTCAGTCTCACTTATCTCAGTCAGGATTTCCTAATTACTCAATTAAACAATTCAGCTTTTATGTCGCTAACCTACTTTTCTTCTCTTTTCTTTCAAGCGAAACAACTTTGTAACCATTTGTTTTTTCTCTTTGTGCTGTCTATGTAAAGATGGTCTTTATGGGAACTTTACAATAACACTAAGAAAGTAAAGAGAGACTGCTAAGAAACAGAACCTTTGCCATATCTAGAGTCTAATAGATTCTGAGCTTATGAAGCTGATTCTTGTTCTGTTGTAGTCTGCCATTAGACCCCTAAATGGAAAAGTTACCAAAGGTTAGATGTCTGTGTAACATGCTGTGTAGCATTAACTAGAACTGTTAGAACTAGAACTGTCCAGATGACTGGAACAAGCAACGTTTTAACAAATGTTAAAACTACACAGCTATGCATAAGCATAGCTATACACACACAATACACACATAATAGAGAAATTTAGCCACAGTTATAAAGTTTTTTCCCCTGTAAAACTATCTGCACAGCTGATAAAAAAAACAACGTCTGTTTTGTTTCAAGACACATGAGGGTCCCAAAGTTTGACCTACACAGGCCCGTCTGCTCTCTGCCTTTAACAAAATGAGTGTTTGTTTTTTTTCATTATCAAACGGTATTAGTTTGACTTGAAGTAATATATCAGTACAATTCATGACACTGATTTCAATGGGGCTGTCCATAATGCCTTAGCGGACTCCAATCAAAAGCACGTAGTGCTGCATATGCTGCTTTAATACATGGAAATAGTTATTCAGCAAATGTTTACCATGGGTCCCAACTTTACACATCACATGGTATCCAGGAATTCTCTGTCAGTCTCTGACAGGTTAAAGTCTCTGGTATTGTATTATATACTGATTTAGATATTGTACTGATGTCAGCTCTCTCTTGGAAATTCGATTTTTAATCTAATACTTTTGTCCATGTAGTGTATCTGGACCCAGGACACTCCCAAAATAGATTCTGCATTTTAACAGTGTCACTTCCTGGTTAAACGCTAACGTTAACACACTTTTTGGTTTTTGTAACACACTTTTTTCTTTTTTTTAGAGTGAGAAGTAATTTTACATTTAGAGATTTAAAATTTTAGAAGCTTCGCCTTTGATCTGGATTAAAATAATGCAACTATCACAGGCAGGAAGAGAATGCTCAGTTCAATATTAGCTGAAACGGTGGGCATTTAGAAAAAAAAAAGGGCTGATGGAGTGTCTGGGTTGAGCCACTTTTTGGAAATGCCTGGGCTTTAAAGATGAAACAAGAGAAAGCAGACAGAGGTTTAAGGGGGCTCTTCACCATTTTAAAGGAATCCATTAAAAGGCATTTAAAATAATCTTCTCTGAGATTTTTCGGGGAGTTTTCTCCAAAGTTGAAAGCATCAAAAGAGAGAAAAACGTGTGTCCGTTATTTTGAAGCAACAAACGTTTCTTTTCTTGCTAGTGTTCAAGGAATCACGATCGGCCTCCAAACCTTTTTATCCAGCCACAATTTAAAGTTACGCGTGATCATTTGGCCTTTGTTCTAATTTAAAGTGATTTGACAGTACATTAATATTTTTTTTTAAAAATCATTAAAAAAATTGTGTATTGGACTGAAATCAAGACGCTCGGTGTGTACTGTACGTTCTCTTGACCGCACCTCGGCACTGCTTGTTCTCTTTTAACCAGAGCCAACTAATGTTAGCTGTTAGCAAAACAGCTTCATAGTGGCATGCTGTCACCAACCAGCTGTCTGGCTGTCACTCTTTGTGTGTGTGGCTGTGTGTGCGTGCACGTGTGTGTGTGTGTCACCTGGGGCCCGGACTCCTGTTGTGAGAGCAGTGGTGCGACAAAAGAACGATGATTAATTTCACTCCGAGTAACCTGTCTCGCTTATGTGACTCTACCAAGCTGTGTGCACACTCGTGTGTGTGTGTGTGTGTGTGTGTGTGTGTGTGTGTGTGGGAGAGAGAGCGCGAGAGAGACCTAGACATAGACTGTTTAGTCAGCAGGTGTGCTGTGATATGTTGAATGCCCTCCAGCCAGGGTCAGACACACACAGACACGCACACACAGACAGACGCATACGTACTCCATAACTGAGACAACTGCTGTATGCATCCGTCCCGCCAGCTCGAGTTCATCCCTCATTTTCTTACTTTTTTTGTATTTTTTTGACAGTATTTTCTCAAACTCTCACTGACTGCTGGCAGTTCTTTTGCAAAGAGAACCTTGGTGTCAGAGTTATTAGTGTGCTTGTGTGTCTTTCTGTGTGTGTGTGTGTGTGTGTAGGCCAACCTCTCAGCAGATGAGCCCAAAATCAATTTCATTAGGGATCATGAATACAATGAGGAGCTGTTTCACACATACACACACGTTCACTGCTGTAGATTTCATTAAGGAAATGCCTTTTACTCTTCTCTCTGTTCCCTGCGCCATCAAAGGGAGACTTAAACATTTAGGACAGTGGGTTACGGCTTGTCCTCGCCGCACCGTTGTGACTTCGGTTTCAGCGAGAAATGCTAACAGTGTTACTGAGCTCTTTTCGCCCCCTCCGCCCCCATCTCTGATTCCCTTTCTTCCTTTTCTTCCTCTTCCTTTGCCTTTGTCCAACCATATAATTAGCTAGATGTTTAACAGCTGAGGTTGGACAGGGCACTGCCATGTCTGGACACAAACCGGCGCCTGCAAAGTCACACAGTTGAAAGAGAGAGGTCTGTGTCTGTGGGGGAAGCGAAAGGACAAGGGGAAGGCCTGAATCAGAGAAAAGAAGGAGAGGAGAAATCTCAAAAAGCAGCGGGGAAGGGAGCTGAAGGAAGCAGGGTGAGGAGGGAGAGATATGGGAATGAAATGAAGTGAAGAAATGAATGACAGGGTATGGTGAACGAAGAAAGAAGCGAGGCAAGGAAAAATATTAGCAGGAATAAGTAAGTAATGGAGGAGAAAGGAATGGAAGATGGAGGAAAGGAAGTGGCTGGAAGAAAAAAAGAAGAGTAAAGGAAGTTTTAAATAAATGAAAGATGGGTCAGAGAACAGGAAGACAGGAATAATTGATAGCGTGTGATTGTGTTCTCCCAGCCAACCTGACCCAAAGGTGTGACCGGTGTTTGAACCCAGCATGGTATTAATCACTGCAGTACTCCAGCCAAACCTCATTACTCCCCTTTGTTCACTTTTATTACCTTGTCCTCCTCTACACACTCCTGACACACTTGCATGCGCACACACTGAGCGTCCCTCTCTCTGTTGTGCTACACCTCCCACCTTCACCCTGTGCTATCTGTCTCCATCA